GTATCTATAAAGATATTTTTGTCGTACCTGTACCAGTTTGGCCATATGCCATGAGAGTTCCATTAAAGCCTGAGAATACTGCATCAACCAGTGGTCTGCCAACAGTTTTAAAAACCTGTAAAACAGGAAATAACTAACTGAAGGATACTTGACTATATACATCAATGTATACAGTGGTATCAATTGACAGCTGGTTAAATAATCAGCATTCACATTAATTTCTGTTTACTTAATTATCTCAATCATGGTTTCCAACACCATCTTGACAGGTTAGAGGCAAAGTGGTCAGAAATTACAGTGTTTGTATGGGAATTACATGACAAATAACTTTTTCAAAAATTGAATTTTGAACAATTTGTGAACTGCAATGTTAAAATACTATAGGTAGAAGATTGTATTCACCAAGTTTGAATGATGTAGCTCAACTAGAAAATGCACACTCAGTTGATTTTTCTGATTTTTCTTTTATTTGTCTGTAAATTTGGCTAAGTTGATGCGGTTCACGGGAAAAAAATTACAGACAACTGTATGGGAAATTATAATGTTCTTACATGTACGTAGTAAGAATATTTAAGGTGTAAGTTACACACAGTGCAGCTCAGATATAAGTGAACTACACATATGCAATTTATACACTGTATTTTGTGCATACAAGTATGCCATAAATGCACAATCATATGTGCACATATACACGTGCATGTATGTCTCTTTGTGCATTCCCATCAGTTTCTTTATATGTATGAAGCATTATTGGTCAAACAAAGGACATTTCTCAGGGAATGAAAAAGCACCAGGCTTCAAAGTGAAATTTGCATATTGTTAAAACATCAATGAAAGCTAATAAAATGTCATATTTTGAGTTTTTCATCACTTTGCAAATTCACCGACAATTACTGACATGTACATGTACTAATGTTTATTAACACTTGCTTGATCTTTAGCTATCAAAAATGGGAAGAAAATTGAAACAGTCACTTGAATGAATTAACTCCTTATTTTAACATATTTAGTTTATATAAAAATGATAATAAACTGGAGTGGTACATGTATTACCTCGCCATTGCTTGCTTGAGAAGAGAAGATGTTGTCAAATTTGTATCTTCTTTCCTTGGCATCATAGAGTGAAACCTAATTGATAGCATGAACAATGTTAAGAGGATCCATGCAGTCATGAAGGATGTATACATTACAAATGTTCCTAGTAACTGTCATAGCCTTGATGCCAATCACTGAAAAGAGGAAGTGCTGGGAAAGGGGAGAGGGTGTGGTTGGGTCCTGAATTGTCTGAATTTTAAAATGTTGTTTCACTGTTTTACTGTTACATTGTAACCTAATTATATATACTGGTATGCTGTCTTTTTAGAAAATTGAGAGTGAGAAAATATTCAGATTAATTTTGTTTGTCACAATTTCATTATATGCAAATTCATTTCAATGATATATATATTTTTTAAATATCAGGTGGTAGCTAGTATTAACAAGATTAGAAGGAAAAAGAAAATATCAATTGATTAAACGATTTAGAGTTAATTTGCTTTAAATAATACTCTGAGGTACATTTAGAGGTCTGAAACTATCAATTATTTCACGATAAACTGTATGTTAATTTATAAAGATTATTAATAATCTTATTTTATTGAATGGCAATAATAAAAGTTCAGTCAAAGAAAAGTATCTCAAAACAGTAATAACAAAGGTAACTACATGTAAAATAGAAATTTATTTTTGTGACAATCAGAGTGGAATAAATGATGGAACAATGACCAAGCATGCAATTTGTTTCTCTACACTGACAGTTTTTCCTTTTTAACCCAAAT